GACCGCGGCGACGGCGGCCAGGCGCGCGAGGCTGCACCAGGCCGTCCCACTGCAATGTCACCCACAGGCTTGCAGCACGGAGGGCGCTTGGCACCGAGGCCACGCCCCATCATAGCAGAGTGGTGGGCAGCGCATCACGGCAAACATCGCCCACGTCTGGAGTCAATGACCGTCAAGCCTAGGCCAGGAGAACATCCCTGAAGAACGTGGGGCCCTCCGTCGGCCAACACAAACCGCACATCCAAGGGTACCCTCCTCAGGATGCGCAAGAGCATCCGACAGAGACGCAGAACGCCAGGGTACCCTCCCCGAGCCGACCTTGACCTTCTACCTGGGTCCGACAGAACTGCACCTCGTTCCCATCCCCCCCCTGCGAGGCGAGGCGGAGAAGGAGGAGGAGGAGGAGGAGGAGGAGGAGGAGGAGGAGGAGGAGGAGAGGACATTTGAGGAAGAGGAAAAAGAGGAAGAGAGGAGAGGACGACGAGGGGAGGAGGATGAGAGGAGGAGGGGGAGGAGGAGGAGGAGGAGACGAGGAGGAGGACATTTCAGGAAGAGGAAGAAAAGGAGGAGGAGGAGGAGGAGGAGGAGGAGGAGGAGGAGGAGATCACTGTACGCGGAGACGGCGGCCAGGGCGCCTGCCGTGGCCTCGCCGGGCCACCCCCAGCGCGGCGGGGGCGGCGGGGCGCGCCGCGGGCCGCCAGGGGCGGCCTCGGCGGCCTCGCGCGAGGCGCCGGCGACGGTCCGCGAGCCGAGGGCGCCCGCGGTCCCTCCAGCGGTCCTCGAGCGGTCCTCGAGCAATGCTCGAGCGATCCTCGAGCGGTACCCGATGGGTCCTCGAGGGGTCCTCCGAGGGGTCCTCGAGCGATGCCGGCGAGCTTGGTGGAGCTGGCGCCCACCGTGGGCGGGCTGCTGGCGGCCACCCTCCTCGGCACCTCCGCGTTTCGTCGGCCCCTCTTGTCGTTAGCGCCCGCGGCGACAAGAGGGGCCGACAAAACGGAGCGCACAGGGAGCGGGGCCGTCAAGGTGTAATCTACCTGGGAGCGGGGCCGTACATGGGCAATATACCTCGCGTGCGCGACCCAAGCAGGGTGGCGAGATGGGCCGAATACCGATCATGTCTCGTCGGTATGTCGACTAGGCAGCAACACAAACACGCACAAGCGTACATATGCATACGTGTATGTGTATACAAGCATTAAACATATCTGTGTATCAAAGCTTCCACGTACGTTCTCTGTCCGACTGTCTGTTTATCGCTCTCGTTCGCGATGTTGATGAGTATACGTGTGCGCAGGTGTGCTAATTCTGCTCACGTCTTCCCTGTCTTCTTCTGTGCCATATCTGCTCACGTCTTCCCTGTCTCTCTCTCTCTCTCTGTATCTCTCTCCCTCCCACATCTCTCCACGCAAATGTACACATACACATACACATGCAAATATACGTACACGTCTGGTTATCTGCATCCCTCTCGCAATATATAGACGCATGTTGCGTATGCGCACACGCATGCTTACCAAATAGATCGTGCGATCTGCCTCCAGTCCCCATCCCAGCAGGCCAGAGGCGTGCGTAAAGCGCTGGCAAGAGTTTAGGACTGGTTCTGGTTCGTTCGCGCGCGGCGGCCCTTGAAGGCCCCCCGGACGAGACCTGCCTCGGCAGGTCCCCGCAGGGAGGGTCCCCGAGAAGTACCTCGGCAGGTACCCCGGAGGGCCCCTGGACGAGAATTCCCCGCGAGGTCCCCGGGATGAGAAGTGCCCAGGACGAGAAGCTCCAGAGTCGGGTCGGAAATGTCCAGAACTCCTTGGCGCGCCCTCACGAGGCGCCAAATGGATGGCAGGCCCCACGGCCTCCGGCCAAGAGCGTTCCAAGATGGTGGCTCACGCTGGTCCCAAGACGGCCCAAGAGACGCCCAAGACGCTCCAGGAGGGTTCCACGAAGATTTCGAGAGGCCCAACAATCATTGATTTCGCGTGGGTGTTCGGACGAGTTTGGCTGTACCGCCTTTTCGAGCTGCCGACCGCCCTGGACGGCCCAAGAGGCCCCAAGATCATTCCAAGACGGCCCAAAACGCCTCCAAGAGGGCCACCCGAATTTTTCCAAGGTGGCCCTCAGATGGCCCAGCAGATCCCAAGACGACCTCAGGATGGCCCCAAGAGGGGGCCCAGAGGGGGAGCCCGAACGGACATTTCCAGCTCTCGGCGCCAGGAGGCGCCCAGGAAGCCCAAGAGGCCCAAGACGCCCCCAAGAGGCCCCAAGAGGCCCCCAAGAGGCCCCCCGACCCCCAACAGGACCCCAGCAAGTCCCAAGAAGTCCCCAAAAGGCTTTCCAGAAACCTCAAAACTGCTCCCCAGAGGCTCCCAAGAGCCCTCCGAAGAGACCCCAATAAACTTCCTTGAGGAATCTGACTCACAACCCTGTTACGTCTCGAAACTCTGCTGGAGCTCCCTTGAGCCATCTGGGCGCCTTCTCAGGCAGTCGATCGGCTCTCTTCGACAGGGTGGGAGCCACATCTCCAAAGATCTTCTCAAGGATATTCCTGCCTGCCCTACTGTTCCCCCTGCGAAAGCATACCCCCACGCAACCACAGTGATGCGAAACGGGCTGGCGGAATGAGTTCAGCGATGAAATACCATAGCTCTAGTTACCTGCCTCCATTCCTCCCTGGACGAATGTCCATGAAATATGTAACTCAACTGGTCGTACGCATGCATGTAGATATCCCCCTCCCTCTGTGGTGTTCCTCCCTCACTCACTCATTCACTCACTCCTGTCTATATATAAATATATGTATATGTATGGACTCAATGCTGTACACATATAGGTATATACATATGTGTGCATAGGTGCTGTGTACACAAACGTATGTATGTAGACGTGTGCTTACGTGTGAAAGTGCATGCCCACATACATATATATATATAGAATGTAGATATACAAAAATACATAAATACGGGCATCCCTGTGTCTGTATGTCCGTGTGTCTATGTCTGCCTGCCTACGTGCTGCTATTTCTCTCTCTCTCTCTCTCATTCTCTCGTCTCTCGTCTCGCTCTCGCTCTCTCCGATTCTCCCTTGATGTCTTGCATCCCCCTTTCTGCCGCAATCGCACACACATCCTCTCTCCGTCTCCTGCTCCCTCTTCTTCGTTATGCATGTGCACTGTACAAATATATAGATCCGCTATCCAACACAGTGCTCGCGCGTGGGGGGTCTCACCTGGTGTCCGAGGCACTGGGCCCGTGTGGGGGTCTGGCGGCTACGTTGTCGCCGTCGCCGCCCCGTCGCCGCCTCGTCGCTGGCTCGTCGGCTGAGCCAATGCAGCGGTCTGGCGGCTGTGTTGTCTTCGCCGCCGCCCCGTAGCCGCCTCGTCGCCGCCCGTCGTCTGGGCCTGCTCGGCGGTCTGTCGGCGATGTTCTCGCCGCCGGCGGCCCGTCGCCTCCTCCTCCTCCTTCTCCTCCTCCTCGTCCTCCTCGTCCTCCGCGTCCTCCTCCTCCTCCTCCTCCTCCTCCTCCTCCTCCTCCTCCCCCTCCTCCTCCTCTGCCTCCTCCTCCTCATCATCATCAGCCTCCTCCTCCTCCTC